TATGAATGAGATCTAGGCTAGGTGCCGCAAAGTTTTGGCTTTTACAAACTGCGATCTTGAATTTTTTTTTGCGAAATGGAGTAAAGATGATTTTCAAAAAAGAACGAAATCCAGTTCTTAGAATATAGCAACCTCTGAATATGCCTAAGGCAATATTGGTAGGCTTCACAAGATTCGGTTTTCAAAAAAAATTTGCGAGATAGAATGGAAATGCGATTTTCAGAAACGAATAATTTCAGTTTCCAAGAATATGACCACTTCTACCGTTATCCCAATATGCCTAGAAAACGAAAATACTAACTTCAGAAATTTCAGCTATGTATGCGAAATATCAGAGAAACGAATTGCTACTATCGGGAATTTTCAGACAAAACGAAATGCGATTTATCAGAAATTTTCAGATATTTGTCACGTAAAAACGAACTACTAATGAGCAGCAAAAAGAGTCGGAGAGATTTTTGCGCTAGCGCCGTTCCGGTGAGCGCCCGCTTGCAGCGCCAACACGCGAAGTCGTGTCGCCCTGTCGTCCTCGCGCCGGGCGAGACGCGCGCAGTAACACGCGCGCAGCTGTTTCAAACTTGAATGCGCGTCTGAAATGGCGGGAATTGCATGAGGAGATCTAGCGCCGACTCGCCACGCCTTCGGGCGTGGCCCTCACCTCTTCGTCAAGTCGACTACCTTCTACGCAAAAGAATTGAGAAGGGAAGGACAGAGGAGAGGTGGAAGGTGGCAATGGACGGAAACAGAAGACACTAAAAGGAGGAAGAAACGGGGCTCGAACGACAAGGAAAGAGGGAAAGCTGGGTTTGACATTTCCTTCCATAGAAGTAAAAAACCAACAAGGTGAAGGGAGCGAAGGGAACCCATCCAGACACAAAGACTACGAAGGGAGAAGAGAGTAGCAAATGCCTAGGAAGAACGAGCAGACAAAAGGAGGAGAGGACAAACGAGAAGCGAAAGGGAAGAGAGGCAACAGTGAGGAATAGGAGTGAGAAGGAGATGATTATTGCGGCACTTGGAAGTCAAGAGAGAAAGCGGAAAATCAACAAGCATCGAGCAAAGATTAGAGGAGGCGAGTAATAGGAAGAAACAGTGAAAGATAAAGGTCAGGGAACGACACAGTTGAGACGACAGGCGGCTTCGTTGGCGAGAAGGAAGCCTCCACGAACAAACACCAACGAAGAAAGACGAGGGACAAGAAAGCGAGGTGAGACCGCTTCATCTTCACCCCGCCAAGAGACGGTGCGATTCCCAAAGTGCCAAGTGCTTTCACAACGGGAGACTTTCGAGAACCTTCCCATGGCCATTCACATATCTCTCTCAACTCACCCATATCCTTCTCACTCCTATCTCTCCTCACAAGGTCTTACCCCACTTCCCCAACCACTCTCTCACCCCAACTCAACCCATCCACACCATTCACCCTACAACTAATCCCCGACTTCTCAACCGCCATTACCCCCCAACCCTTCCGTTTTACACTTCAGTACCATCCCGTCAATCATCACTAGAGAGCTCACCTAATCGTGGGCTTTATCACTTACCACGTCTTCCGTTACTCCAACCCCGATCTTACAATCCCCCCAATAAAGCGACAAATTCCATATCTCGTAAAAGATAGTTAAACCGAAATACTCAGCCTATGCCGATCGCCCCAAAAGATCTCTAAATCACCCACTACGCTCGTCCTCTCA